AAACTGCCCCAAATTCCTGAAATTTCCCATAAAATTCCACTCAAAATTCCCCCAAAATTCCCCCAAAATTCCCCCAAAATTCCCAAAAATCCACCAAAATTCCCCCCAAAATTCCAAAAAATTCCCTCAAAGTTCCCTTAAAATTTCCAAAAAAATCCCATAAAATTCCCAAAATTTCCCCCAAATTTTCCTCAAAAAGTTCCAAAATTCCCCCCAAAACTCCCTCAAAATCCCACCCCAAAAATCCCCCTAAAATTCCTAAAAATTCCTCTCAAAATTCCCAAATTTTCACCCAAAAATTCCCCCCAATTTCCCTCAAAAAGTCCCAAAACTCCCAAAATCCCCCCAAAATTTCTCCAATTCCCCCCCCAAAAACCCCAAAATCCCATCCAGGACCCCCCAAAATTCCCAAATTTCCCCCCAAAAATTCTCCCAAAAATCCCCAAAATTCTCAATATTCTCCCCAAATTTTCCCAAAATTCCCAAAATCCCAAATCCCCCCAAAATTCCCCCAAATTCCCTCCAGGACCCCCCAAAATTCGCAAATTTCGCCCCAAAATTCTCCCAAAAATTCTCAATATTCTCCCCAAATTTTCCCAAAATTCCCAAAATCCCAAATCCCCCCAAAATTCCCCCAAATTCCCTCCAGGACCCCCCAAAATTCGCAAATTTCGCCCCAAAATTCTCCCAAAAATTCTCAATATTCTCCCCAAATTTTCCCAAAATTCCCAAAATCCCAAATCCCCCCAAAATTCCCCCAAATTCCCTCCAGGACCCCCCAAAATTCGCAAATTTCGCCCCAAAATTCTCCCAAAAATTCTCAATATTCTCCCCAAATTTTCCCAAAATTCCCAAAATCCCAAATCCCCCCAAAATTCCCCCAAATTCCCTCCAGGACCCCCCAAAATTCGCAAATTTCGCCCCAAAATTCTCCCAAAAATTCTCAATATTCTCCCCAAATTTTCCCAAAATTCCCAAAATCCCAAATCCCCCCAAAATTCCCCCAAATTCCCTCCAGGACCCCCCAAAATTCGCAAATTTCGCCCCAAAATTCTCCCAAAAATTCTCAATATTCTCCCCAAATTTTCCCAAAATTCCCAAAATCCCAAATCCCCCCAAAATTCCCCCAAATTCCCTCCAGGACCCCCCAAAATTCGCAAATTTCGCCCCAAAATTCTCCCAAAAATTCTCAATATTCTCCCCAAATTTTCCCAAAATTCCCAAAATCCCAAATCCCCCCAAAATTCCCCCAAATTCCCTCCAGGACCCCCCAAAATTCGCAAATTTCGCCCCAAAATTCTCCCAAAAATTCTCAATATTCTCCCCAAATTTTCCCAAAATTCCCAAAATCCCAAATCCCCCCAAAATTCCCCCAAATTCCCTCCAGGACCCCCCAAAATTCGCAAATTTCGCCCCAAAATTCTCCCAAAAATTCTCAATATTCTCCCCAAATTTTCCCAAAATTCCCAAAATCCCAAATCCCCCCAAAATTCCCCCAAATTCCCTCCAGGACCCCCCAAAATTCGCAAATTCTGGAGGGACACACGGACACCTGGATGGACACACGGACACCTGGATGGACACACGGACATGAGGATGGACACGAGAACATGAGAATGGACTCACGGACACCTGGACGGACCCGCGGACACAGCCACGGACACCTGGATGGACCCACGGACAGCTGGACATCTGGACCCGGCTGGAGCCATGGACTCCTGGACACCTGGACGGACACAAGGACAGAGCCGTGGACGGAGCCACGGACACACGGACGGACACACGGACAGAGACACAGACACACGGACGGACACAAGGACAGAGCCGTGGACAGAGCCACGGACACACGGACGGACACACGGACAGAGACACGGACACACGGACAGAGCCATGGACACCTGGACGGACCCACGGACAGAACCACGGACAGACCCATGGCCGGACACTGGAGTGGACAATGAGGTGGACACTGGAGTGGACACAGGGACTGACCCACAGACACTGGAGTGGACACCGGGATGGACACACGGACAGACCCACGGACACAGGACCAGACCCACAGATGGACACTGGAGTGGACACCGGGATGGACACACGGACAGAGACACAGACACACGGACGGACACAAGGACAGAGCCGTGGACAGAGCCACGGACACACGGACGGACACACGGACAGAGACACGGACACACGGACACCTGGACGGACACAAGGACAGAGCCGTGGACAGAGCCACGGACACACGGACGGACACACGGACAGAGACACGGACACACGGACAGAGACACGGACACACACGGACACACGGACGGACACACACACAGAGACACGGACACACGGACACCTGGACGGACACAAGGACAGAGCCGTGGACAGAGCCACGGACACACGGACGGACACACGGACAGAGACACGGACACACGGACAGAGACACGGACACACAGACAGAGCCATGGACACCTGGATGGACCCACGGACAGAACCACGGACAGACCCATGGCCGGACACTGGAGTGGACAATGAGGTGGACACCGGAGTGGACACTGGGACTGACCCACAGACACTGGAGTGGACACCGGGATGGACACACGGACAGACCCACGGACACAGGACCAGACCCACAGATGGACACAGGGACACAGGGATGGACACTGGAGTGGACACTGGAGTGGACACACGGACAGACCCACGGACACAGGGGAGGACACAGGGATGGACACTGGAGTGGACACTGGGACTGACCCACAGACACTGGAGTGGACACAGGGCTGGACACGGGGACTGACCCTCGGACACAGGGACTGACCCACAGATGGACACTGGAGTGGACACGGGGATGGACACTGGAGTGGACACTGGAGTGGACACACGGACAGACCCACGGACACAAGACCAGACCCACCGATGGACACTGGAGTGGACACTGGAGTGGACACTGGAGTGGACACAGGGGTGGACACACGGACAGACCCACGGACACAGGGGAGGACACAGGGATGGACACTGGAGTGGACACTGGGACTGACCCACAGACACTGGAGTGGACACAGGGATGGACACAGGGACTGACCCACGGACACAGGGACTGACCCACAGATGGACACTGGAGTGGACACGGGGATGGACACTGGAGTGGACACTGGAGCGCACACTGGAGTGGACATGGGGATGGACACACAGACAGACCCATAGATGGACACTGGAGTGGACACTGGGACTGACCCACAGACATGAGAGTGGACACAGGGGTGGACACTGGGGCAGACAAACGGACAGACCCACAGATGGACACTGGAGTGGACACGGGGATGGACACAGGGACAGACCCACAGATGGACACTGGAGTGGACACTGGGATGGACAAAGGGACAGACCCACGGACACAGGAGTGGACGCAGGAGTGGACATGGGAGTGGACACCGGGATGGACATGGGGATGGACACAAGACCAGACCCACAGATGGACACTGGAGTGGACACTGGGGTGGACAAACAGACAGACCCACAGATGGACACTGGAGTGGACACGGGGATGGACAAAGGGACAGACCCACGGACACAGGAGTGGACGCAGGAGTGGACATGGGAGTGGACACCGGGATGGACATGGGGATGGACACAGGGACTGACCCACAGACATGAGAGTGGACACAGGGGTGGACACAGGGGTGGACAAACAGACAGACCCATAGATGGACACTGGAGCTGGACACTGGGATGGACATGGGGATGGACCCACGGACACGGAGATGGACACAGGGCCGGACACTGGGGTGGACACGGGGATGGACACAGGGATGGACACGGGGATAGACCCACAGATGGACACAGGAGTGGACACTGGAGTGGACACGGGGATGGACACAGGGATGGACACAGGGATGGACACACAGACATAGGGATGGACACAGGGCTGGACACTGGAGTAGACACGGGGATGGACACACAGACAGACCCATAGATGGACACAGGAGTGGACACTGGAGTGGACACGGGGATGGACACACAGACAGACCCATAGATGGACACTGGAGTGGACACTGGGGTGGACACAGCGACAGCACCACGGACAGACGGACACACCCACAGACCCACGGACACTCGGACACACGGACAGACGGACAGACAGACACACCCACGGACTGACCTGAACTCTGCGGCCGCCTGGAGTGGACACTGGGATGGACATGGGGATGGACCCACGGACACGGAGATGGACACAGGGCCGGACACTGGGGTGGACACGGGGATGGACACAGGGACTGACCCACAGACATGAGAGTGGACACTGGGGTGGACAAACGGACAGACCCATAGATGGACACAGGAGTGGACACTGGAGTGGACACGGGGATGGACAAACAGACATAGGGATGGACACAGGAGTGGACACTGGGGTGGACACGGGGATGGACACACAGACAGACCCATAGATGGACACAGGGCTGGACACTGGGGTGGACAAAGCGACAGCACCACGGACAGACGGACACACCCACAGACCCACGGACACTCGGACACACGGACAGACGGACAGACAGACACACCCACGGACTGACCTGAACTCTGCGGCCGCTCGGACGCTGCTCGGACACGCGGCTGCTCCTCCGGCCGGACCCACGGACACCCGGCCGGACCCACGGACACTCGGTCACTCGGTCAGAGCCCGGCCGGACCCACGGACACCCGGCCGGACCCACGGACACTCGGTCACTCGGTCAGAGCCTGGCCAGACCGACGGACACACGGACACTGGGACAGCCCCACGGACACCCGGCCGGACCCACGGACAATTTTTGGGGATATTTTGGTGAATTTTGGGGGGAATTTTTTTTTATATTTTTTGGGATTTTTGGGGATATTTTGGTGAATTTTGGGGGTTATTTTGGGATGTTTTTGGGAATATTTCCGAATTTTGGGGGGGAATTTTTGGAGCTATTTTTGTGATTTTTGGGGGATATTTTGCTGAATTTTGGGGGGCTATTTTGGGATGTTTTTGGGGTGTTTTTGGGGCTCAGAGCTCGTCGTGGGCCCTGTGCAGGTCCTGCCCGTAGTCCGTGGCTCGGCTCCCCACGAAAAGCTCCCAACGGCCCAAAATCTCCTCCCGGCTCAGGGCCCCGTCCTGCCGAGAATTCCAGAAAGTTCCACAAAACTGGGCAAGGTTTGGGATCCCCCCCGAAAATATCCCACCCAGAAAGGGCAAAAATGGGGGAAATTCCAGCAAAATTGGGGGGAATAACCAAAAAAAAGGCAAAAATTGGCAGAAATTCTAAAAAAGGCAAAAATTGACACAAATTGCCCCAAAAAGGAAAAAAAATGAACCAAAACGACCCAAAACCACCCAAAAAGGCAAAAATTGACACAAAACCACCCAAGAAAGGGAAAAAATTGACCCAAAACTACACAAAAAAGGCAAAAATTGAAACAAATCCACCCAAAAAAGGCAAAAATTGACACAAATTGCTTAAAAATGCCCCAAAATGGCCCCAAAACCCCAAATTTTGGGGATTTTTTTTTGGAATTCCTGGATTTTTTGGGAATTTTGGGAATTCCCAGAATTCCAGGAACGTCTCACCTCCACCAACATCTCCTGGGGCTGAACAAAGTCCCAAAATTCCTCCAAAATTCTCATTTTTGGACCGTTTTTGCTGCGGTTTTCGCGATTTCGACCCCAAATTTTGGGGGATTTTTTTGGGAATTCCTGGATTTTGTGGGAATTTTGGGATTAAAAATCCCCCAAAATGGCCCCAAAACCCCCAAATTTTGGGGATTTTTTTGGGAATTCCTGGATTTTGTGGGAATTTTGGGAATTCTCACCTGCTCCAGGATCATGTGCTCAACCTCAACCCCAAATCCTCCCAAAAATCCCCCAAAATGGCCCCAAAACCCCCAAATTTTGGGGATTTTTTTGGGAATTCCTGGATTTTGTGGGAATTTTGGGAATTCTCACCTGCTCCAGGATCATGTGCTCAACCTCAACCCCAAAACCTCCTAAAATTGTCCCAAAATTCCCTAAAAATGCCCCAAAACCCTCCAAAATGGCCCCAAAACCCCCAAATTTTGGGGGAATTTTTTGTGAATTCCTGGATTTTTGGGGAATTTTTGGAAATTTTGGGAATTCTCACCTGCTCCAGGATCATGTGCTCAACCTCAACCCCAAAACCTCCCAAAAATCCCCCAAAATTCCCTAAAACCACCCAAAACCCCCTAAAAGTGGCCCCAAACCCTCAACTTTTGGGGATTTTTTTGGGAATTTTGGGATTTTTTGGGAATTTTGGGCATTCTCACCTGGTCCAGGTCGGCGTGGTGGATGAGGTCCTCGGCCTCCACCCCAAAACCTCCCAAAAATCCCCCAAAATTCCCTAAAACCACCCAAAGCCCCCCAAAAGTGGCCCCAAACCCTCAACTTTTGGGGATTTTTTTGGGAATTTTGGGATTTTTTGGGAATTTTGGGCATTCTCACCTGGTCCAGGTCGGCGTGGTGGATGAGGTCCTCGGCCTCCACCCCAAAACCTCCCAAAAATCCCACAAAATTCCCTAAAATCAACCCAAAACCCCCTAAAAGTGGCCCCGAAACCCCAAATTTTGGGGGATTTTTTGGGAATTTTGGGATTTTTTGGGAATTTTGGGCATTCTCACCTGGTCCAGGTCGGCGTGGTGGATCAGGTACTCAACCTCCACCCCAAAATCCCCAAAAAATCCCCTAAAAATGCCCCAAAACCCCCTAAAAACGCCTCAAAATGGCCCCGAAACCCCAAATTTTGG